AAGGTTTCGTCTAACAACTATAGGCCCAACAACAACAACCCTAACGAAAGTTTCGAAATGATGGGATACTTCCAAAAAAAGTCCTGGCGTTCTTATTATAACATAAATGGACACACTGTATCTGTGTGTCCAACTATAAAAAGACTAAATGAAAGTTATTAGGCTTTTTACAGCACTTAACTCGGGACAAGTAAGAAATAATAAATGAGAATTTTAGTGATGCCCTCACTGCTAAGCAGATTCCCGAGGCACTAGAGTTTACATTGAAAGAATTAGAAAAGATGCGTATAAGATGCGTATAAGAGACAAAAATGAGACAGAAGAAATTGTAAACTTATCTTCATGTATTAAGGACTCCCCACCCAGCAAATTCCTGACAAAAAAGACCAAAGATTACTGAGGTCCTTGACTCTTATTGACCCAAATACAACATAGAAAGTTTCTGTTCATCATCAAGTACCTGCAGAGATAAGTTATATTGAAGAAGCATCTGCATCTAGATGGCGTTATCAAAGTAGAATCAAAGTTAAGAAGGTTCGACATAAGGTGTTCAACAATTACCTTTCAAATGCAGACCATTATGATAAAACGAGTAATCTTTGATATTGCAAATTGAGGTGGAATCGAAAAGAGAAAATAAAACATCCATTCATTATCGAAAATCAGTAAGGACTGACAATACTGATGGAACAGGTAATTTTGATTGCTACAATCAGAACATAATTACTGGCTAGTGATAAGGACAATGGGATTTTGGATTATGAATATGACACAACTTGTGACATATTAAATTTACATTTTAACGATAATGAAAATAGGGAATGGGAAATTAATAAATATGTCATAACAAATCTGACGATGTTGAACATAGAGAAAAGATAAAGTTAAAAGGGTGAGGTCTAATATAATACGATCATAATTGATGACATGGAAGCTGAAATGGATCGATTATTATTAGCTAATGTGGAATAACATTAATTGCAGAATTGAATTGAAATGGATAAATGTATAGCAATTACTGATTGCTGAACATCCGCTGATGAAGACTCTGAAATAGCTATAACTAAAATAAAAGAGGTTGAGTATTATTTAAAAACATCTGAAGTGAATGATACATCAGATGAAACATTCCAAATTGGTTTTTGTTGTCAAGATGGGATGGGAGTGAAAAAGATGAACATCAAAAGTTTTTCAGTTGTCGAAAAGCCTGCTAATACGAGTAATACGTAGGGCAGTATTGAAGAGGCATATAGCTCAGAACATTTCTGTAAACATGAAATCGGGAATTGAATAAGGTAACAGCAATAGAAGTAGTAAAGAACTCGTTAAAAGGATGAATTTGAATCGTGCCTGCGATTTGTGGATGAAAATAAAAGTAACCGAATTTAAAAGAATGATCAAATGGAATAGATTGATAAACTAAAAGAAGGAAGTTATTACTCGAATAACCATAAGTAGCACGATATTCTCACCAATCCTATCAAGCCAGAGTAAATGAAAAACTTATTGACATGGATTACAATAGTGTACCGAGAAATCTTAGATAAGAAGAGCGTAGAGTTAGGATGAATGAATATGAAACATTCATTACCTATAAAGAAAACCTTGAGATAAAACTCGCAGAGGGACGTTAGTGTTGATAGTTGTTATTATCTTGGATCTTAATTCGATGATGAAGACGATGTCTTCGCATTAAGCAATCGAAGAGAAACCTATTGCTGCAAGATAGATCCGAAGAATCACTCGATGACCTATATAAGTCGTTAGTAACCAACTAAAGGATGCGGGGGCGTCAGAAATTGAACCGAACGAATTGGCATTAGAGAATCGAATATTAACTTAGAAAAGGACAAAGTGGTGTAGAATTGCCAACTTCAATAAAATACTGAAGATTAATCTCAACGAAACATTTGTATGGTACTAAATATACTGAAGGTAACAACCCAAATAAAATGGCACAAACATAGTCATGGACGAAAGACGACATTTGAAATATATTGAAGTTAGATATTCTAATGAGAAAGGTCTTGAAAGTCTTGATCATCAAAATGTAGACATCTATTCGATTAACGTAAAGGCAGTGGTCGAGAATAAATTTGAAAATAAAAATACGTTGTTGGAGATCAAGGATCAATTAAGAGTGTGAATAAGTGTTGAAAACGACGAGAACAACGGAGTAATAGCGACGCGTAAAATAGATAGTGACCGAGAAGGAGAGGATAACAAAAAGAGGGTTAACCAGTAATACATAGCTAGAACATACCAATTATCGAACGTTGTAAAGGTGAGAAATGATCCAGAATCACAAAATATGTGCAATACGGATATCAACTAATACTAAGAAATCCAAACAACACACTAAACTACTAAA